TACTACCCGGGGGAGGGCCTTCTCTGTGGCGGCTCCGGCCCTTTGGGACGAGCTCCCCGCAGAGATTTGGACCCTCACCTCTCTCCAGGCCTTCCGAAAAGCCGTTAAAACCTGGCTGTGTCGGCAGGCCTGGGGTCGATGAGTTCCCTTCCCCTCTCGAATCGTGTGGCTGTTGGTTGTTTTAAATGCCCTGTACTTTTTGTTGTAGTTTTTGTGTTTCCCTTCCCCTCCTTTGGGTTTGTGCGCCGCCCTGAGTCCCGCTGGGAATAGGGCGGCATATAAATAAAATGAACCTTGAACCTTGGGTTCTGGCAGGCATACCTCCATGTCAGGGTTCCAAATAACATCCAAAATTAAATCAGAGTCCAAGGCAAAGTATTGCTCAAAGTTCCAATTTATTAAGAGAGTTAATAATTGCAAGTGCATGCCCAGTACAATTAAAATTGTTCTGCGCATACACAGAACTAAAAAACAAGCTGACGGTGCTGCCCGGGGAACCAGTTCGCAGCAACCCAGGCCACCAAAACACTTCCGGTCAGCCAAACCAGTCTGAACTGATATGAACTCACCACTGATAGGAACAGAATTCAGTCTTTCAGTTTCTAGCCTGATGCCTTAATCACTACACTAAACTGGCTTGCTAACTTAACTTTTAAAACCATGCAATGAAGTAAAATAGTTTTTAAAGTCAAGACAATGTTTTACTTGCCCTTTATATTTTTTTTATGTTTGGAGATCAAATTCTAACCAAGAAGCTTGTACCATGCATAATACAAAATACCGATTTGCTATCTCCAGTCTAATATATAGTAGAACACTTTACAAACAGTCGTGGAAAACATTTTCAGTTCAGCTTGCTGTGAATATTTCTTACACTTTAAGCAGTTATATGTAGGTGGCAGGGACGCGGTGGCTCAGTGGCTAAGACGCTGAGCTTGTTGATCAGAAAAGTAGGCAGTTTGGCGGTTTAAATCCCTAGTGCTGTGTAATACAGTGAGCTCCCATTACTTGTCCCAGCTTCTGCCAACTTAGCAGTTTGAAAGCATGTAAAAATGCAAGTAGAAAAATAGGGACCACCTTTGATGGGAAGGTAATAGCATTCCGTGCGCCTTCGGCATTTAGTCATGCCGGCCACATGACCGCGGAGACGTCTTTGGACAGCGCTGGCTCTTCAGCTTTGAAACAGAGATGAGCACCATTCCCTAAAGTCGGGAACAACTAGCACTTATGTGCGAGGGGAACCTTTACCTTTATGTAGGGGGCTTCTCTTAGGTTTGATAGTGAATGGAATTCACATTTTGTCTACAATCACTCCTGGATCATAATTTCAATAGAATTTTGGATTCAATAGAATTTTCTCTCAGCCTTAGGAAGAAGGCAGGGGCAAAATCACTTCTTGCCAAACCTTGTCAAGAAAACTATAAGCACTTGTTCAGACATTCATTAGGAGTCAAAATTGACTCAAAGTCTCAAAATAACTACACATAAGGCAGGTTTATGATTTTATGTTGTCCAATAGTTCTCAAACGGTTAGAGGAAAGAAATCTAATGTCAAATCTATCTTTAAATAGATAAATAGAATTTAGGCCTCCCACCCATAGAGAGTACTATAACATAGGGGTCCCCAACCACCAGGTCACGGCACACTACTGGACCACGGCCTATTCGAAGCCGGGCCATGCGAGAGATGGGCAAGTGCATCTGCATGAAGTTCCGCTCACACGATTGGAGGGTGCTCACATGAGCGGAGCTTCAAGCAAGCAGAGCTCCACACATGAGTGCAAAAGTGACTGCCTCTCAGGCAAGTGGAGCTTCACTTATGAGCACAAGTCTTCTAACTTGCTTGCAGGCGAAGCTCCGCACGAGTGGAGGGCACGCATACCCACCGCTTGTACACATGGAGCTGTGTGCCTGTCACTCACATCACACACACACACACACACACACACACACACACACACACACACACCGGGGCCAGGCTGGGTTGCCAAACTGGAAAGGTTGGGGACTGCTGCTCTTACCAATTTAGATAGCTCAGGCAGGAGGAGTTTGATTTTACTGTAAATGCTTCCTGATATGAGGGATAGTGCCTATAGAGGAGGAGGTGGTGTGATAGACCTCAGAGAAGTAGTAGTTTCTCAGAAAGAAGGGAACACATTCCTAGGAGGGGGACAAGGCAAGAGGCAACTCAGTCTGGAGTTGGATATAAGACAGAAGAAGAAAGAACAACCACTTCCTAGAATACCTCAGGGTATATCCAACTGGGTGAGAATAGTACAGATTTAATCTGGCAAAATTCTGTATATTTGGTATCAACAAATAAAAACTGAACTTTGGCTGAATTTTTCTATGTTGTTCTTGGGCTAGGCTTGAATCTTGCTCTTGATATACAATGGCTGGAATTTAAGTGCTGTAGAAAATAAATAAATAGGTTAGATAAATTACTTATCCGACATTCCTGAATTATTTTGTGCCTATTTTATTTGAGCCCAGCCTTGAAAAGGAGCTGCCAAACGTGTTGGAATACCCATAGTAGGGAAAGTTATATTAAAGAATGCTTCTGAAAATCTATTACGTCTGTACAAACATTTGGATCGATCTTCACATGAATTTAGAAAGATAATCTTCTATTTCTTCTTCTTTTGTGAATATCCATTTTGCAGCATTCAGGTTTTTCCCTATTATTTTCTGATAATCCTACCTTCTGTTGCAAAGTTTCTTGCTCTGGCCACTTTTATTGCCTTTTCTAAGGCAGATCCAAAAGTTACCAAAAACTGGAAACATTTCCAGATTTTCATATCTCATGAGAACTGATGATAAATTAAGTGTTAGGAGGGGAAGTAGAAAAAGTGCACATATGGATGTCTATGTATTTAAAGCAAGATGTAAGAGCAGATTGCAGACATTTTGCAGACATTCATATTAGGTTCTGCTAGAATACATTCAGCTTGCTTTTAGGAGCCTCCCAATAAATGCTAGGAGGAAGAGAAAAATCTACAATGGCTGATTTCCTATTTTTTTGGAATATGAGATGGAAATATATAGATAATGCATGGATACCTGCATTGGCATTAGGTCAAAAGTTTGTGCCTTTTTTTTTTACAGTTTCCTACCCAAATGGAACATTGAAAATAAATTATGCAAAGGGCGTCAGGCCTCTGCCCATCTGGCTGCTCATCAGCAGGAAACTGTCAAACCTGATAGAATGGGACCAAATCTGGTATGGCAGGAGAAACCAGCAAAAGAAAGTTTGAATTTGAAATTGAGCTGGATCCAATCAGGATCTGGGGAGAAAAAAAAATCAGAAAAAAATTCCCAATGCGTCCCTAAGGAAGAGGCATTTAGGCAATAACTTGCAAGGCATCTGATTGCTCCATTCTTAAACACTGTTCTCTTCTTGTAATGTGACCCAGAATAGATAGAGCTTGTCTTAAGGGGTTGGAGAGGTTTCCAGAAGCCATGCTCTGCATGTTTTTCCTAACTTGTTTAGAATTTCTAATTTATTGTAAAGGTAGTCAGCTTCTAAAGGTCGTCACAAAATAACACCCAGCGTAATTTTCAGTTCCAAGAATAGACTGCCTATAGGGACCCTTAAGTATTCTTGGAACATAAACATGGTGGGTGACTAACACCCACTGTTGTGTTTGATTCTAAAATACATATATAAAGTAAGCTGGAGTGTTAGAAAGCATTCTGCAGGAAGAGCAGCCAGATGGGATATTGAGAAATAAAACCTCAGCAGTTTGCCTTCTGGCAGATGTCTGTTTTGTGATTATCCATGGCCACTGTGGCATGCACTTTTGGAATGTACAAATCCCTCCTCCATCAGTCCAATGACAGCTAATTTAGGAAAGTGCCATATCCTCATAATGCAAATGTATCCACAGTAGCCCAATTAAGATTGGGTGTCATTGTTCTCAAATAACAAATTCAGCTGTTAATTTGAATGTTGTTCGGTGTTGTACATGGAAGATTCCCAGGGAACTTACAGTACCGCCTATTGGCTGTGTACATGCAGCATTCTGAACCCAGAACCACCAGGCTAACAATCTATGGCAGTGTTTCTCAACCTTGGCGACTTTAAGTCCTGTGGACTTCAACTCCCAGAATCCCCCAGCCAGCTGACTGGGGAATTCTGGGAGTTGAAGTCCACAGGACTTAAAGTCGCCAAGGTTGAGAAACACTGATCTATGGTTACTGTACTCAACAAGCTGTTTCTAAACAAATAAATCATATGAAGGCTTAATATGATTGCTTAGTTTTTAATTAAAATTTAATTTTAATTACATTTTAATCTACTTTGGTTGCTTGCATGAATCCCATCAGTACTCCACTTTCACCAAAGAAAGGTTTTTTTTCTTTTTCCTTTCCTCAAAATGTCATCCAGGTTCATTTTCATGAGCACACACACAGAAATACACACACACCTTTCTTCCTCTTGGGGCAAAACAAAATACCCAGAGCACCTCCATCCACTTCCTTATAGAATTGCTCTGGCCTCTTCTGAGCAGCTTCTGTGCTAAGGGGGCTCCAATTATCCTTAAGTGGGTTGGGTTTGTTATTGTTGAGGGGGATTTTCTGTTGGTCCCTCCCATGAGGGGGCGGTGGCTGTTGCCTAGCAAAGAACCCTGAATACACAGAGGTGGGACTACGGGAGAACAAAGGCAGATCTGCTGATATCTTCCTCTTTCTTCTCTTTTTCTCCTCCTTACTGGTCCGGCTGCTCCCAGTAATAGCTTGGCCTGCTGCCAAGGGATCACGTGGCCCAATTTGTCCCCTTTGTATCTGCAGCAACAGGGCAGGTTGCACCGCTGTTATGAGGTAAGTTCCTTGCTAAAACATGTAGGTGCTTTGTGTGTTGGAGTGTCTTTTCTTTGGGGTGTGGATGAATCGGTCAGCCTGGGGTTTGAGTTGGATAATTGCTGTGTCTTTGTCACTGAATGGGCAATGGATTGGCAGTGGAAAAGCAGTCTGATTTGTTTGTGATTTTAATAACAAAGAATAGAAGGCTTGGTGAGACTGAATAAGGCTTGCAGTGGCTGTAATTCTCTCCTTTGAATCTTCATTTGCAAACTTTATTTGCACATACGTTTCATATGCTGTATTAGGTGTGTTTGTGAAAGTTTACCAGTTTTTATTTGTTGAATGATATGTTTCCGGCTTGTTTTCCTTGCGTCACTCTCTTCAAAGCTTGCTTTAGATTTCAGGCATATATAAATAGAGTTAAATATGCTTTCACATGGATAATACTTTTAAAAACCCTGTTATTTTGTAGTAAGAGCTAGCAATTATGTTTTTCAAAGATGTTCATAAAGATGCCTGTTAATGACAGAGTCTAGATTGCAAGCAGGATCATTATATTTTTAAGCATGTTGAACAATTAACTATCACAAATCTTAATGTTAAGGATTTACCTCCAAATCTTCTGCTCCTCATTGAGTAATGTTCCTGCTTGTTTTTGGCTGCTACTTCTCGTCTTCCCTTTTTTCCCCTAAATTGTACTTCTATTTATTTAATCTCAGAAAGGCTCTCTAATGTAGAGATTGTAAACAAAAGAGAAAAAAATCCCTCTACTTTCTATTACTTTACTGGAAACATACATTCCTATTCCTGGTTGTTCATTCTGGATCCCTAAGGAAGTCTTAATTCCTTATAGTTTTTCTTGTGGTTTTTAAATGACAGTTAAATCAGCCTTCTAGATTCCTAGGGTTACGGGGGCGATAAGAGAATGTCAATTTTGATGTAACTGCCATTTTTATCTCCATCTGCTCTTTCCAGTAACATGCTGTGCACCATATTGTCATTTTTACAAGGATGTACAGTGTTCAAATATGGTGGGAATTTCCTTCATGCCTACTTTACAAATGAAAATGGGAATAAGATCTTTATTCCTAATATCACTTCGTTGGTTTTAACTTTCAGAATCTATTATTTAAGTAACTTGTGGCGTGTACTAACCTTTTTGTTTTTTCTTCTTTAAATGGAGGTAATACTGAAAGATTATGTCCACTATGGTGTACCCCAGGGAAGAGAAAATGGACAAGCTAACCCAAGAAGAGATTATTTCCAACACTAAGCTGGTGATGCAAGGGCTGGAGGCCCTTAAAAATGAGCATAACTCGATCTTGCACAGCCTACTGGAGACTATCAAGTGTCTGAAGAAGGATGAAGAAGCCAATCTAGTACACGAGAAAGCCAACCTGCTGCGCAAATCAGTGGAAATGATTGAGTTGGGACTTGGAGAAGCTCAGGTCAGCTGCAGTTTTGTATAGGAATCAAAAAAAGCAACCAAACACAGTCACAGTTTTTTCTTTTGATTGAGGAAAAATGGGATTAAGTGTTCAGAATAGCAAATATATGTATCTTCAAATTAAGGACATCAGTATATCAGGGTTTGCAAATGTAGATGACACACCTTTAGCCACCCATGTACAATGCAGGACTTACAAAGCTGATAAGATTGAGATGGCGTAACCAATTATATTTGTTGTTCCTTTTCCTCCTTCTTGGCAATGTGGTTCTTCTCTCTTTTTCCAATCCCCCCCCCCCAAAAAAAAATGGAACAAGCATATAAGATAATTTATGTTACACAACACTGATTTATAGTCCAAACTTTCGTTATTTTGTAGTGCTTAAAAACCAGTTCTTTGTTCAGTTCTGTCCTTGGCTTGTTCCAAGACCATAAGAAATATGCTAATTTTCTGACAAGTCTTGGAATTCTGTTTGGTGATGTATATGTTCTCTTTTCCTTTAAGATTGGGAAGTTTGATAAAAGAGTCATTTCTCAAGATAGATATTTCTCCTTTTTTCTCTTGGACCAGGTCATGATGGCTCTGTCAAACCACCTAAATGCTGTGGAGTCCGAAAAGCAGAAATTGCGGGCCCAGGTGCGCAGGCTATGCCAGGAGAATCAGTGGCTACGAGATGAACTAGCAAACACTCAGCAGAAGTTGCAGCGCAGTGAACAAACTGTGGCACAGCTTGAAGAAGAAAAAAAACACTTGGAATTCATGAACCAGCTGAAGAAATATGATGAAGATGTATCCCCAACGGTGAGAATCTATAGTGTAGAGCAGTGAGTCTCAACCTTCCTAATGCTGCGACCCTTTAATATAGTTCCTCATGTTGTGGTAACCCCCAACCATAAAATTATTTTATGTTTTCTGTATTTTTTCAAAAATATGTGTTTTCCAATGGTCTTAGGCAATCCCTGTGAAAGGGTCGTTCAACCCCCAAAGGGGTCCCGACCCACAGGTTGAGAACCATTGGTGTAGAGCATCTGTGCTTACTGGAAGATTCTGCATCCAAAATAAGCTAGTAATAGCTTTCTCAGAGTTCCTATCTAATACTTTCAGTTTGTCTCTACTACCTATAACAGGCACAGGTAACCTACCCTTGTAATTACTATCTTGAATTATCTTCCTGAGAAAAATAACATTTTATCATTTGCATCAGTGTTGGGCATAAAAACCTTGCAGTACTAATACATAATTATCTCTTTCTACCCCTTTCTGTTGGTGCTTTTCTATATTAAAATTTCAGGAGGAGAAGGAAGGTGATTCCACAAAGGATTCTCTGGATGACTTGTTTCCAAATGAGGAAGAGGATCAGGGGCCAGGGTGTAAGTTTCATTCTTTCATTCTTCTTATGGGGAGACCAGACACAAATACTGTATGAAGTGCTGTTGAACTTGACAGCCTCCAAATATTCCATCTGATTGAAAAATTAAAGACACAAAGGAGTGACAATTCTTACTTGTATGAATAAACCATAATATAGCATTGCATGCTGTGCTTCTTTATTTATTGATGTGATATGTATTTGCAGTGCCTCATCAACACAGCAGTGCTGTAGCAGCTGCTCAGCAAGGTGGTTATGAGATCCCAGCCCGCTTGCGTACACTACATAATCTGGTGATCCAGTATGCATCACAGGGACGTTACGAGGTGGCTGTGCCTCTTTGCAAGCAGGCCCTGGAGGACTTGGAGAAGACTTCAGGACACGATCACCCTGATGTGGCCACCATGCTCAACATCTTGGCCTTAGTATATAGGTGAGGAATAGAGAGGTAGAAGGTACCTGCTTCTTGTGGAGATGGAACAGCATGTCAGGAACAGAAATGAAAGAGGGCGCATGAAGGAGGGTGGTGTAGTCAATCCCTATTGTGGCAACCTCTATTAAGGCGGGATGTTATGTCTGTGCAATGTAATCTCTATGTTTGTGTTATGTTTATATAAATTGTTATATTTTTAAACAGTTCTGCATCTAACGTTTTGTTACAGGGATCAAAATAAATATAAAGAAGCAGCTCACCTGTTAAATGATGCATTGTCTATTAGAGAGAAAACTCTTGGCAAAGATCACCCTGCAGTAAGTGGCTATTATTTCTTTCACTTCAAGAAGGAGGATCCAAATATATAGTACCTGAAAAGTAATTGGGTCATTGCCTGATCAATTCTTCTGATTCCCAGGCTAATCCATATTTTAGTTGTGGTAATTGAGGATGATCAAAACAATGTATCTGGAGGGCACCAGATTGAAGAAAGCTTCTTCTACACACAAACACACACACAAAATAAACCTAATAAATAAACCACAAGGAAGGGAATCTGACCAACCACTAATGGAGTATATATCCCTATAAGAGGCATTAATGAAAAAGCACAGCATTAAGAAAGAAAGCAGGACAAATGAAGAAATATCTTTGACTTTTCACTGAGATAGAGCAATCTGAATCAAAAGTCTACCTGTCCACGCCTTTGTTTCCTAAGCAGTGAGGCAACATTGGGCAGGTAGCTTTGTAAGGAAATCTAAGCATGTGATTATGGTAGTGACATTTGGGCCCACATTCATATATACAGTAATTGCTTTATTTAATACTTAGAATATCAATACATATGTTGCTTTACAGATTGTTGGCAAAAGAAATATGTGACTGAATAGAACAATGTGATTTCTTGAAATCGTATCCTGCTGAGAAATGGTGACACAATTTGGGCCCTGTTTCAAATATCCAGTTACTGTTAATGTTGCCAGTTATAACAAATGGGCTCTCTATGGAGTATCATTTTTTATGCCCAGTATTTTTGTTTGTGTGTGTGTGTGTGTGTGTGTATCGATTTTTCCTTAGTTCTCATGCAGTTGTTTCCACATCTCTCTGCAGGTTGCTGCAACCCTAAACAATCTAGCTGTTCTGTATGGCAAAAGAGGGAAATACAAGGAGGCAGAACCATTATGCAAGAGGGCACTGGAAATCCGGGAAAAGGTATTTTTCTTTCAGAAGCTTGAAAGAAGAAGGTTTAGGCTATGGGGCCACTCATTACTGAGTCTATACAACAAATTTCACTGCTTGCCAGAGGTGGGCTGCTGCCAGTTTGAACCAATTTGGGCAAACCGGTAGTTCCAATAAGCAGCTGGGCCCACCCACCCACCCTGGCGCTATCATATCCTATATAATCACCATTTTTTCAATGCCGTGTGCATGCATGGACAGCAGTCCCGCACATATTTTTGGTTCTGGGCGAATCGGTAGTTACAGTTTGTGACAACCAAGTCTGCTGCTTGCGATTCCTACAATAGAAGCCTATTTCGGAAGAGAAATATATTTTGGATGAACTATATCCATAATGAGGCTAATATGCATATAATATGAACCTATGTATGTACAAAATTCAAGTTTTAATGGTATTTATGATGCAGTTTTCCCAGGGAAAGAAAAGTTCCCAGTATTTTATAAATTGCAGAATTCCCAGAATTTTATAAATTATTCTTACCTGCTTCAATTTCAGGTTCTTGGCAAAGATCACCCAGATGTGGCCAAACAGTTAAATAACTTGGCTTTACTATGCCAGAATCAGGGCAAGTATGAAGAAGTAGAATATTACTATCGCCGAGCACTGGAGATCTACGAATCCCGCCTAGGGCCTGATGATCCAAATGTTGCTAAAACAAAGAACAATCTGGTGGGTCTATTTGTTGATATGAGAACTATGGAGACAAAGGATTATCTGAGCTGAGGGGTGACTGGCTATGGAATGTTTTTTTTTTCAAACTTTTATAACAATGTCCCTTGTACTCTGCCAGGCTTCTTGCTACCTGAAACAAGCCAAATACAAGGATGCCGAGACCCTCTACAAGGAAATTCTCACCCGTGCCCATGTGAAAGAATTTGGCACTGTTGATGGTATGTACATCAAAGAAGGAGGAGGCAACATGCGGAAAGAGACCAGGCCTTAGAAGGAGATTGAAATTCTTGCATGTTAATTGTGAAGGTTTCTCGAACATTCCATATTGTTAGGACAGATATGTGTGGAAAAGAGCCTATTTTTCCATTGGCCACATTTTGATAAGTAAATGATACACAATCTGTAAAGACTTTTCATTAGCGGTGAAGTTTACATTGTCTAATCTCTTGTAGCTTGCTTATCAAGTGTTTGCTTATTTATCTATGAACAAGGGGAAAGGGATCTGAAAGCCAATATATTAGAGGTTCCTCTAAAAATACCATTATAATGTATACAGAGACCTTTCCCCCCTCCTCTTATCTTTTCTCTACAGATGAACACAAGCCTATATGGATGCATGCAGAAGAAAGGGAGAAAATGAGCAAGGTGAGGATGAGATCAGTGCTCTCACAGGCATTGCAGTGCCATCCTAAACCATCAAGTAGCTGAAGGAACTTCTGAATGATAATTGGGAATAATTTTAGATTAGAAAAAAACTAACTGAAAAGAGGGACACAATCTAAATGATGTATAATGTAGAGAGAGACAAAAACTCTCTCAAAACACACAGGGTTATCCAGGTAAACTGAATTAGGTACAAGACAGATAAAAATAATCACTTTCCTTCCCATTGTGCTTAGGTAACCTTGCTATTAAGAGTCTCTATTCTAGTGGGACTGTAGAACTTTCTCTTCTAAATTGGGTCACATGTATGCCTTTTGTCAGTTTTAGTTGATATGGCAACTGCATACCTTCCTGGGGGGAAAACTAGCTCAGCAGTCAAATTGATCTATGAAAGACCTTTCCAAGATTGCATGTTACCCTTGTGTCTGAAGTGTTGCACAGTCTTGTCAGTTTATTTCCAAGTGAAACATGAAATGCCAGTTGTTTCTCGACCTTTATTGCTTGGGTCTAGGTTATTGGGGAGAATACTTCTTTTTTACAGGATTCCTTATCCTTCAAAAAAAATAATTCATCAATTGTTGAATTGTGTATTTGATGGCTAAATTTATTCCAGGTCGTTGGAATATACTGCCTGATGAGTAGGAGGACCTATGATTTTTGTTTTTCTTTGAAAAAGGTCTCAACATTATATATATTTTTTAAAATGTGTAAAATGTATATTTAATAATTAAATATAAGTGTCATAAAATAGAGTATAGATAATCAGCAAATAGGATGGTTTTTGAGAAGGTTGGACAAATTCATAGATAATGTAACTGTTAATAATAATGGATATAAGTTAACATCAGGATCAGGGCCAAGAACCAGTTCTTGGTAAGCAAATGATAAAAATAGTATTCTTCTTTCCCTTTTGTGAAGGTATTCTCATAGGCATCAGATTGTGGGAACTAAATGCTGTGCTATACAAGCCTTCGATCTGAATGAAGATCCTATGTTTTTCAAGGTTCTACAGTGTGAACTGGAAACGTTTGTCCTATTCTTCCCATGCCTTGCATATTTTTTCTTCGTTATAGTGGATTCCTTAGGACAGGGGTCGGCAACCTTAAACACTCAAAGAGCCGCAAGGGTCCTAACTGGAAGCCCCCCGACCGAAAGTCTGATCCCATCATAGAGTCTCCTCCTAGTGCGGTGTCCTTTCTCCTCTACCTGTCCTAACGGAAAGCCCTATCAATTGTGGAGCCGACCAGCAACAGGGAGCCGCAGCAGAGGGATGGAAGAGCCACATGCGGCTCCAGAGCCGCAGGTTGCTGACCCCTGCTTTAGGACGTACTAGAAAATGGACAATGGAGAGATTTCAGCAGGTTCTGGGCCACAGACATTTCAGAACCAGAATGCTAAAGTTTGCTGTTTTAAAGGGCCATGTTTAAACCTCTCAGATTTAGCAAAGTTAATTATTAATATTTCCCTAAATTGGGAGGAGAGAGAGTTAAGTTGAAAAGTCTCTGCATACTAGAACTACAACAAATCCAAAGTCCTTGGCTTTGAACTTCTGCACCTCACTCTTTTGAAAAAATCTGTACAATCTATGAAACATTACTAAGAATAGAAATTTGGTAAACTTCCGGGACATTTTGGGCTAAAGTACTGAACGCATCATAGGAGTTCTCAAGCAGGATGGCTTCATTCTGTTTTTGTCTTGCGAAAGCTATTGGAATTTTTTTTGGTTCATCTAATCTAGTGATTGATAGCTGCTTCCAGTAGTAGATAAAAATAGATATCTATTTCCTGGATTTTAGCACTTTACAGTACTTAGATTCCCAATTCATTGCTATCGCTGCTAAAAGGAATTAGCACTGTTTATCTTATTGCTATCCATACGTCTTCATGCACAATGCTTTTCTGTCAAATAGCTGGTTTAAAAGGGGTGAAAAGGACATGAATGTGCATACATGTGCGAAGAGGTACTAGTTAACATGTGTCAGCTGTTCTTAATTTTTGCCTAGCAGTGCATTGTAACTACTCACTGGTTACATTTGTTAACTTGGATATATCCCATCTGCTGACTTGGATACAAAAAATGACCTGTACCCATACGATCATGCTGAGAAGTCTCTGAATTAAGAACTCTTCATGAAAGACTGTTAGTTTTGAACTAGTTTTGAACCCTGAATTTTTCCCTTGAAAAAAATCTCTGCATTTATAGCATGTGAGAATTTTCTTGATACAAAAAAAAAAATGACAGCATTAAATCAGAAGCCTTCTAAGTTCAAGGGATTGGTTTGGACTCTTTTGTGTTGTGTGATTTTATACATTTGTTGTTTTATACTAGCAACCATCAGTTTATCTTCTAATCGTTTTAAGGTACTTGGGTACTTTTGCTTCTACCAAACTTTCATGTCATATTTTTCAAACACATGGAAAAAGATGCCTACATGAAACGTGATATTGACAACTTCTTCCTGAATACAGCTAATGGGATTTGCAATTGTATGTCATCCAGAAAGCAAATTGGATAATTTAATAAGGAGAGGAAAAGGCAAGGCAGTTATCAATGCAAAAGGCAGACTCACCGATTGTCAAAAGTGAATTTAGGTTCTCATTTGTTGAAGCTTAATGCCAAATGAATCAATCCTTGGGAAGAAGGTGGCAGATGAAAAATATTTAGCAATTAGAGGAACAACGCCAGTTAGATTTATGATTTTCAAGTATTTATCCTGCTAGAAAATATTTCTGAGAAATATTTAGGAAAACCTAGACAAAGAAATGCAAAATATTCAGCGTTTAATATTCATCCATTTGTCTATGTAAATCAGAACCCCTATGTGATGCAAACAATGAACTTTCCACCTAATAACTCTTAACAGCTAAGTTATATCACTTTTTCTTAAACACAGAAGTGAGCCAGAGCACTTCAGCTTGACATCACAAAAGATACACTATATTGCCAAAAGTATTCACTCACAACTGATTTTGATTATGTGGATGGGTGAGCGAATACTTTTGGCAATATAGTGTATTTCCAAGCAGTGGAAAGAAATTAGATTATATGTTGTTATTGGAATAATAGGGAATTATTTTAGTAATGTATTTATTCAGTTTCCATTGTCTTAAATGTCTTCTCCCACTAGACTATCTGATTTTTTTGTTTATTTCATACTATTAAAGGGCATAAAAACCATTTTACTAGAGCATTGCTTTTGTCACATTTAATCTATATAGCTTAAGTAATGTTATAAATATGATGCAGTTCCAAACAACCACATTCCATCAAACATATGGAATTTACACTTATGGAATAAGTGCGAAAAGATTGGACTTCTGTTCATTTCATTCCTATAGGAAATATGGGGATTGTAAAAATAGATTCAGAATTGCTAGCTACCATTCCTGTTGGAATGATCTTCAATAGCATAAATAGACCTGGTGGGTTTTTCGAATTACATTTTATTCAGCTTTTTTAAGAGGAGTAAATATATAGTGAATAAACATAGAATTTACAAGTATTGTAGAATTAGGTTATCTTTTTTAAAATGTCATTTACTGGCTTTAAATAATGGAATATGTTGTTTGGAAAATAAGTCATTTTATAATCTTAACAGTGTATAAATATCAACAGCAGTGGTCAACACAGTATAAAATTAAAATTAAAATAAAAAATCACAATAAACTTTTATCTAAGCTACTGAAGATCTGTTCTAGTTTAAGAACTTAGAGTTACAATTTGAATGCTCTGTTAAGAGAAACTCTAATTTCAGATATGGCACAGACCCATATATAGAATTATACTTAGAGCAGTTTCCAATTTGAGTGAAATTCAGAGATTTATTTTTGAAATTACAAAGTTATTTGGACATTGAAGCATACTCTCACAATTTAATTAGCCATTCTGCAGAGGAAATTGTATTTTTTAGTTGGAGTAGAGAGTATTTTTGCAGCACTTACATGTACAATGCAACTTCTGAATATTTTGGAAATATAAGATTAATGATATTTGATTTTAAAAATGTAAAATAGATTGAAAGGAAATTCATGTTTTAGAATTTGTTTCATTCTGGTATAAATTATTCACCAAAATTGTTGTGCTTTACAACATAACCACCCAATATGAAAAAGTGATCTGACCTGGCTGTTAAATTTCCAATAATTTCTAAAGAAGGAACTATCCATTTTAGTTATTGAGATTAGAATTGTGTATCAAGATAAAATGCCCTAAACTAATTTCTCTTAAGTATATTATTCAGTAAACTTATAGTACTTTTTCCCCACTGGAATTTCCATTGTTACATATGAATTACTCTGTCTAGATTCTGCATCCATTTAATCATACAGTCTTTAATTCACTCTGGTTCTGAGTCATACATAAAAAAAAATTGGGGAGATAACTGTAATTATTACATTTATAATCTTGGAAGATTTTTGGTATTGGGAAGCTACTAAGATGGACAACAGAAATCAACTTGAGGAGAAAAATTACCTGTATTGCAAATATATAATGGGTGTCAGCTCCTTGCCCTCTCTGTGCAATGTTCTGACCTTGTGTCCCAAATCCGCAATGAATAAGGCTGAGTATTGTTGATAACCATAGTTTTTTTTTCCTCAAATACCTTTCCTTCCAATCTATCCTGGAAATTTTTAAATAACACATATAGAGCTGCAAATATATTTTGGTGTGCTGTGTAGAAATATATAGGCACTGATCTGCCTTTGCCACTATACTGCTTGGCCTACAGAGGATGGCTGAACATCAAGTTACTTTATGAGGGAAGGATGTGAGAACTTATTTAAATTGTGTGTACATAAAAATGTTAATATATTATACATCATCAAAATAAAATATTAGATTCTGGATGAAAGATGTTGCTTGTCCTGAAGACTCAGAAAGCAGCAAAGTGAAACATATATAGAGTTAATTGCAGGCTTCCAATGAGAATAAAACATGACACAATAAAGGTAGCGTCCACTCTTCATTATTATTATTATTGTCCCAGCAAGTGGGAGGACATATTATGAACTACCTGGGTCCTGTTACTATTGGGTTTGAAGCAGGGTTCAAAAATGGAATCTTACATGTTGGCTTCCTGACAAAACCTGATTACATTTTCATAATACATGTATTTCAGAGTAGATATATTACATAACTTCCCAAATCCAGTCCCTAGCAACTCCATACAGGACACCCTGAACAACTGTAGTAAATAACTATTAGATAGATCTATATGGCAACTGCCTGTGTTTCTAACTTATCTGCCCAATACTTGACATTTCAGTGTTACTCTTAACAGGCTAAGAACCATCCAGTTATTAGGAAATCACCTTGCCTGAGGGCATTTTAAAAATCAAAGTTGTAAGCTATGGAATTTATGACTGAATTGGAGTCCTTTCAGAAAATGCTAAGGGCACCAAAAAACACTCAGTGATTCAGGCATAATTTCAGTGGAAAGTTGCATGATAGGATTCTTATGCCCAGAGTTCACTTACATGAAGCTGTGTCTTTAGCTTATAATCCCACAAGTTTCTCAACCAACTGCATAAGTGTCTGATAAATGTTTTATATGCAGAAGCTAAGAGAACTATCTTTGTTTTAAATATCAATTTATGCCACACAATCTTCTAATTTAAGGCCGGGGAACTTGTTAGGCAGTATCTGCTCTCAAATGCATTCCTATAATACATGAGCTTATTGATCAAATTCTTTGCCACACCTATTTTTAACTTTGCATGTCCGTTTTCATAATTGGAACTTTGCTACAAATCAATATTTGTAGTATCTCATAGGAAATCTGGGGAGAAATTTATATCCTGCCATACTGACCTCTGAAGAATGGAGAATGCTTTTATACTATTTGGCATTAAGATGCCGAGGAACTCTTGCTGTGGAGCACTAAGTATGTCAGGAAGATGTTCCTTATCTACTTGATCAAATCATAGGAGAACTAACCTGCAGATGACTTTTTTCTTATGAGGTCAAGATGGAGCCCATCCTTGGGGCATATTTATACCATCATGCTTGTACGAATCTATTAGCATGATCCTCAACCTGATTTCTTTCATATGTGTTAGATCTCAATTCCCATAATTGCCACCCACACTGGCTTTGGATTATGACAGGTGAAGTCTAGCACAGCAGAGGGCTCTAGAAAATGAAAGACTTCTCCTTATAGTTGGGAAGTTAGAGGAGCCTATATTCCTGCCAAGTGTTAAACAAGTGCATTATTGTTTTTTATTTCTCTCATGCATGCTAACAGAAACAGAAACTCTTGCTTCGATTGTTCTAAGAAATCTTTCCCTCTTGCCAAATTCTTTTCCAGAGTAAACATGGAGAAAACATCTCCTATGCAGAGTATGGTGGCTGGTACAAGGCCTGCAAGGTCAGCAGGTAAGGCGTGGTATTTGCTTATATTACTAAATCTTTTCAGGTTATTCAATTTATGGTTCTTATAGAGGTTACAGAATCCTTTGTGAGCTCCACATTAGTTCACCAAAGGAATGTGCAAAAGTGACAAGGAATGTGAAGGTGGGGAAAAATATTTACAGGCTTACGAAGATGGGAATGCTCTATTTCATTTGTCCGCAAATGACTGAAAGGTGGGGGGGGGGATGACAAAGGGTGCCTAGTAAAGCTGCTTTATAGAGCAGCCTTTGTCCTCACCCCACTCCCTCCCCTTTCAGGTGCTGCCTGTCTGATATATCCTCTCTGACATGCATGCATGGGTTTAAATCCTGATTCAGAGCTGGGGGTGGGGATGAACTGCTTTGTAAGGCCATTTGAATCAGAGAATCCTGAGTTCAAAAGGAATGTAAAAAAAAACCCTTAGGATAGGCTGCATGAATTCTTCTTCATTCTACTTTATGTCATGCCTCCTCTATATTATACTGATATTGGGAGGGGTGTTTTTTTAAAAATATAGGACTGTTGCTCTCTTAGGCATTAAAAAATAAATAAAAAATCATTTGAGATGGAGCTCCTTCCAACGTCTTTCCTTATACACCTTCTATGACCTCCAAATAGGTCAGATTGATTGTGACGGCTGACCCAAAAAATAAACTATGACAGGCCTGCTCTATGAATGCCACGTGCTTAGTGCCTCTTGCAGCCCATGCTGAAATGAATGTCTAGTACCTAAGCTATGGGGCAGGGTGACCACAGTAATCTTAAGTAGTCAGTGGGAGCTCAGTAGATCCCCTCCTGTCCACTTCATGAACCGTATCACCCGTGAACCCCCCACTGTAAGCTGGGGATGTAATGGAGTTGTATCAAGTTCCTTAAATGAAATTATCACAGTAATTCTTAATTTTTGCAAACCTCAACTTCACATCTTGGTTCTACGAAACAAAAGTGATTACCTGGGCAGCTATTGGGTACAGGGAAAGATGCTGTTCTTGTAGAATCCTCAATATGTATAAGCTCACATGCATTCTGTATTACATTTTGTCTTCAATACTAATAATATAATTGTAGAAACGCTATAGACTGGCATATTCTTTCATCAAAGATGACTTGGGCTTTAGTGATCAAGTTACTCCAAAGGTAAAGAATGATTGTTAATTTCAGTTTTGCACTTTTTCTTGAATGCCCCTCAGCCCTACAGTGAATACCACTCTGCGGAACCTGGGTGCGTTATACAGGCGTCAGGGCAAACTGGAGGCTGCAGAAACTTTAGAAGAGTGTGCACTGCGTTCTAGGAGACAGGTAAGGCCAATAGTGCAACAGGTGGGATCATTGTCTTGTACATCTTAGAGTCAAGATATACAATACAATACAATAGCAGAGTTGGAAGGGACCTTGGAGGTCTTCTAGTCCAATCCCCTGCTTAGGCAGGAAACCCTATACCATTTCAGACAAATGGCTATCCAGCATCTTCTTAAAGACTTCCAGTGTTGGGGCATTCACAACTTCTGGAGGCAAACTGTTCCACTGATTAATTGTTCTGTCAGGAAATTTCTCCTCAGTTCTAAGTTGTTTCTCTCCTTGATTAGTTTCCACCCATTGCTTCTTGTTCTACCCTCAGGTGCCTTGGAGAATAGTTTGACTCCCTCTTCTTTGTGGCAACCCCTGAGATATTGGAACACTGCTATCATGTCTCCCCTAGTCCTTCTTTCTATTAAACTAGACATACCCAGTTCCTGCAACCGTTCTTCATGTTTTAGTCTCCAGTCCCTTAATCATCTTTGTTGTTCTTCTCTGCACTCTTTCTAGAGTCTCCACATCTTTTCTACATTGTGGGTGACCAAAATTGAATGCAGTATTCCAAGTGTGGCCTTACCAAGGCATTATAAAGTGGTATTAACACTTCACGGGAACTTGATTCTATCCCTCTGTTTATGCAGCCTAGAACTGTGTTGGCTTTTTTGGCAGCTGCTGCACACTGCTGGTTCATATTTAAATGGTTGTCCACTAGGACTCCAAGATCCCTCTCACAGTTACTACTATTGAGCCAAGGTGGCGCAGTGGTTAAATGCAGCACTGCAGGCTACTGCTAGATCAGCAGGTCAGCGGTTCAAATCTCACCGGCTCAGGGTTGACTCAGCCTTCCATCCTTCCGAGGTGGGTAAAATGAGGACCCAGATTGTTGGGGGCAATATGCTGACTCTCTGTAAACCGCTTAGAGAGGCCTGAAAGGCCTATGAAGCGGTATATAAGTCTACTGCTATTGCTATTGCTATTGAGGAAGGTACCACCTATACTGTACCTGTGCATTTCGTTTTTCTTGTCTAAATGTAGAACCTTACTCTAGTGACCCAGAAAAAAATGCTGGCATTGTGTAAAGTAGAGAACAGGTAGCCTTTCAAATAAAAGTTATTTTATACTCCATTTAATAGAAATTCCAGAGAAAATAAAAGTTGCGTTTATATGTATAATTTGAATCAAACATGGAAATTAGATTAGCTCTAATTGTTGCCACCTTTCATAGCAGCATTTTTCCTGTTGAGCATTTGGGACTTGGTGCCTGCTTTTCTAGGTTGATTTTTCCTATTCTTTTGTGAATTAAAAAAAATATCTTATTGAATCTTGGATATTTTATTATTTGTTTGTATTCTTGTGAAGCTATCAAAGGTCGTGTGAGAATCCAGCAGGTGAGGGAGGGAAAGAGGAAGGCAGGCAGGCAGGCAGACAGGCTGAATAATTCAGATTTTAATGGTAGCTTCAAAGCATCTTGAAAGAGCCCGAAATGCTGGTGAAATTGTAACTGTAAAATGCTATTAGAGATTTTCTTGATAATAACCACAGTGGTGTGGTTAAATGTACTTAGTGTGATCTTTTTTCTGGAAAGTTGCAACTGCTTAACTTAAAAGCAGTTCTTCCCTTGAGTCAGCAAAAATCACAGAGCCTAGACAAAGTTGTTTGCTCAATGATTTTGTTTTGTTTTGTTTTTTGGCTGGTTTGAAAGAAGCCAGCTGGCAAAGATATAGACTGCTAACTGGTGTAACTAATATTGAGAGAAACCTCCTTTCTCTGTTTTCTACCCTTGTCTCCAAACTTTGAGCAATTTATAATAAATAGTGATAAAATGTAAAATAATAGCATAAAACACTACAAAATAGGGAATCTTCTAACTTTCATAAAGCTAAAAACTGCAAAAACAATTAAGAACCTCAAAATAAAACTCTAAGGTCCTCAGCGCATCAAAACAAGACATCTCTCTAGTGGATATGCGATGAAGAACCTCATTGATGCTGTAATGTTTTTCTGCAGCTGGTTAGATACTGCCTACTCTTCTTCTTGATGGTCATTTCCTATATTTCCAGGATATCAGTTGATTTCTATATATTTCAAGGGAGATTTTCTGAATTGAAATTCTTAATATTATGATTTTTCTTGTTTTTATTTTTTCAAAGCAAACTCTATTTTAAGAAAATTTCTAGATACCGAAATGATTATAACAATTTCCACACATTGTGTTCATGTCTTAATGGATTAAATAGGCTAAGAGCCCAAATAGGCTTATTAAGCCCAGATATGTACAAGTTTCAAATATAACCAAAAACTGTCCCTTTCTTTTAGCTTCATTTCTTTTCTACATGGGAAAAGAAACATCAATTAACATCATAATAACTGTTAATGACTTTCAAAACAAGCCAGGAAACAACTTAATTTTAAACCATGTTTTCCAGTATCCCTTTTTTAGAAGCTATTCTTATTTCACAGTTTTGTACATAACAGTAAGCAATGACTACAGCTTTAAAAAAGAAAATGTTAGAACAAGATTAAAGTAGCATACACAAGTGCAGATAACTGGATGTTCTCTCTTTTTTTTCTTCTTCTTCTTTCATTCATTCAGATGTGATTTTCAGAGACTGCCTGGACAAGTACCTGTAGTTTTCTTGGCAAAGTTTTTTAGAAGTGATTTGCCATTGCCTCCCCCCTCGCACTAAGGAAAAAGTGACCAGTCACAGTCACACCCAACTGGTTTGGCTTCTTTCCAAATTGGCACTCTCTCTTTTTTTAATAGTCTTTATTAGTTATACATTTTTTTAAGGATAAAACATACAAATACAGTTTTAAACATACAGCCCCCCCTCTCCCCCCCGCGGTGACAGTCATTCACAGCCCAACTTTTTTTTTCTTCCTCATTGTTTAGTCTCTAAGCAACATCTTCTCCTTACAAAGTTC